TTACATCAATCGGGGGCCTGCCACGCGTCCAGAGGGGCGAGGTTGCCCTAATATTGCGATCGGCAGGTCTTCTACCGAAGGTAGGTGCCGAAGGCACCACATGGCCATGGTTTAGCCACGTGCTCGTCATTCATTGGCTGTTCATTTTGGTATAAACAGGAGTCCCCCAAGTCCCCTTGCGAGAGTCTTCGAAAGGGGATTTGAAGTTGTCTTCGGAAGGAACTACGGCCCTACCGTTCGGTAACCCAATCTTGGGGAAGGGGCCAGACCTTGTCCCTTCCGGCATCATTAGTTCAGAGGCTGACGTTGGCGAAGATAGAAGGTCGCGTCAAGCTGACGGGTGAAGGGACGTCTGAGCGCTTCGACTTCCGCGCCTCGCGTGCCGTCTGTTCCCCACAGGATGAGCGACACGTGGCGCAAGTGATGATGGTGCGCGGCGCATTAATGCGCCGTTTGGTTTTTCGAGGAATATCGTTGCCACCCATCCCCCTATAAATAGGGATGACCTCGGAGACGAATCCACTTTGTGTCTGGTGAGAAGTGAGAGCTCTGTCTGAGGCGATTTTCGACGAGTGTTAACGGTAACCAAGCGATTTCCGACTAGTGTTGACTGTAACCAGGCGATTTTCGGCGTTTCGAACGGTAGGGAAGCATTTCTGAAGAGTTGATCGCGCTCGATTTCCAGAGTACACATTAAGGTACCGTTCGGCACCCTTCCCTTTAATCTCCCGCATGTTTTAAGAATTACGTCATTCCTTGGTTCGAACTAGACTGACCACAGGGTTCCATCCGGTAGTCTAGTCGCCATAGGTAGCGATGTAGGGATCGGTAGGGTAGCATCCGGCATGAGCCTTAGTTTCATTTTTCCTGTTTTTGTAGATGTCTGATAGCGAGTCATTCTCCGAGCGCGAGCCCAATGCGTTCGATGAGGAGTCATCGGACGGTCTCTTTGACTCCGACGGCGAAGCGGCAGGGCCCGATGCCGAGGGCGGGAGTGATACCGACGTCGAGATACTCGGCGAAGGGCCCAGTTCCATTCCAACACACGGAGTCGGAAAGGGG